TTTACTCTGTGTTTATATTACAAAAAAAAATTTAGCACTGCCCATATAGCTATCTTTCAACAGAAAGCTTCCCAAAATATGTATGGTGGAAGAAAAAGCATTTCATTATTTCAGTGACTTTAACCAAATTGTGTTTTTAATGTAGAAATTCAAGTACAGTAAAATATAACCAATGATTTATTTAAGAATTTATCAGCAAGAATAAAAAGCCTTCTGGATATCAAAGAGGTGCTTGCACTTTTTACTGAAGACTAATTGGCAGAACCTCATTGTTATAGAATTCTAACCTTCCTTTGAAGTAAATGGTTTCTATAATAATTGTCCTCTTTTAACATCTATTATGATCTTTTGATATCAAATACAAACTAGATATAACCTAATTTATCACTACATCATTAAAATTACTAACATGACCTTGGTTCTAAAACATTTAGAATTCTTTTTTAACCCATTAATTTACATATGACAACTCCCAAATCTTCTTCCTCATTAAACAGGATAATTTTTCTTATGTGTTTCTTTTTAATATTTTTGTTAGTGATAGAATAATGTATGGCTCTTTATGAATGCTATTTGATATGGAAAAGGTAACTTTCGAGCATGTTTTCCAGAACAACATTATAAAATAAATTTTGTGCAATGTTACTACAAAAACAAAACTTGAGATAAGTTCTTTCTCTTAATGTATGATAAAATTTTAAAAATATGTACTTAAAAAAAAAAAAAAAGAAGTCCTCATAAAAATGAAATTTACTTTTAAATACAGCAGTAAAATAGATAAGTATATTAAGAACTTTATAGATAAAATTTATAGTTAAGTAATACCTTTTTCCCCCACACTAATTTTATCTTCAAACTAAGGTGGAATAAACAAAGATCTAAAGATTATTCAAAGTAAAATTTTGGTAACAACAGAATTTTCCCCATTTCTGTTTTTTTAATGCCTCAAAAGGTAAGAAAAAAGTCCTTAATAAGATATTTAACTTCGTTTCATATAACCAAAACTATGGCTTTCTTCTACCTTTGTGCAAACGGCGGGGATTTTTTTGTGTTTTGCTCACCTAGAACAGCGCCTGGCATCTGACAGAGGTGCGATGAATAAATGAATGTTCTACAGAAAAACATGTACGATAGGATGGATCATCTCAAAGACAATAACAATCCACCTGTCACTTTCCAGAGACGCTGCCCAAGATGATGAGTATATTAAGGTCTTAGAACTAACCATTATCTATACAACCATAATTTTTCTTGCTGAAACTGCTGAACAGGTCATTTGCTGATACCAAGAAGCAGATACTATGAACTTTTTAAAAGAAAGTTTGGAAACTAGCATGGTCTAAAACACTTCCTGGGACATAAAGGTCTCAGAGGAATTGGGCCATGAACATACTTGGAAAATCAGGAAGTGCCTTTTCAGCTTTAGAAGAGCTTTCCAGAAGGAACAACACCTTAAAAACAAGAAAGGTTTATTTGAGCAGCAGCAGCAGTGTATTTTATAGTACTTCCCAAAATGCCTGTGGCATCTTTTTACTGTACCCAGTATTAAAGTTTAAAAAAAAAAAACACACACACACACAATTTATAAAGTGCCTGCAGGGAACACAAGAAGCAGGTTTTCTTTGCCTTTAATGTTTTCTCATGTAGTGGTCAGAAATATAAAATAATATCATGGTTTTCTTTCTATATTATTTGACAAACAATAAATGAGACTCTATAGTGCTTTATTTACTTTGTCAAAAGGGAAAGTCCTATCATGTTCAGAAAACCCATTCTCTGAAAAAGAGAAATAGATCATTTATTCTTGGTGTTAAAATATGAGCTGCAGACCTCACATTGCGTGTGATAATTAGGGAATTTATTACAATAAAGGCACTAAAATTAAAACACATTATCTTGTGATAAAATTTCCAAAAGAAACAAGGGAAATCTAGCTAGTGTGGAAAAAAAAGGGTGAAATACCTAATTATTTTAGTAATAAATCATTTTGGAGGAAATAAAATATTTCATCATAAGCATATATTTTAGCTATCTAAAATATCATCACTTATTGAGTATGTTCTGGAAGTAAAAAGGTGTATTCCGGATGGAAACAGAAAATAAATACTTAGCTTACAGACAGATTTAAGGCAAATAATTCCTAGACTTCATGAGAAAAACATTAACACTTAAAGATCTAACTTTTTATTTTAATTTTCCATACAACAGATTATTAATTTAGTCATTAAGTCTCTTACTAGTTCGTGCTTTGATAATTTATCCCTATACTTTAAAAGAGACAATACAGGCAATTTATTTCTATAAAGGGTTTTGGTTTATATGCAGGCTGTTTCAGTTTGTTTTTCTGCAAATGATTAAAAAAAAAAAAAAAAAATCTCCAATGAATGATTACTTCTACATTTAGGAAAACAAGAGGTTTTCCAAAATCTTGTGCCAATAACAAACATAAACCTTAATAAAAGATACAATACCATTTCACAATTAAAAATATTACTGCACATAAGTAGTGCAAGAGTTAAAAAATTAGAAAATCCACAATCCACAGTGTGAGTTAATAACTGTGCTAAGGCTTCTAACAACGTCCCTGCACCTTGTAGCCCTTTAATTTTTCCAGTATGACTGATCAATTAGTGTAACCTTCTTATTGGTACAACAAATATTTTTCTTTTGATAATTTGGTACAATGATACCTAAATATAATTAAATTAAAACTTGTTTCCCAGCGACAAAAAGAAAAAGCATTCACAGACCCCAACATCAATACTTTTAAAAGCTAAGAGAACTGTACGCTAACTGTAACTTAAGTTAACTAGCATTCTCAACACTGTATTTGTTGCGGGGACACACACACACGCCCCTATTTTTTAAAAAATGGAGATGGATAAAATACATTAAGCTGTGGTGGCCTCAACATTTCAAGAAGGAGATGTTTCTCTCAACTAAGATAATTATTCATGCAAATAAAGAAGAAAGGCTGATTTTATCCTCAGTAAAGATGCGCATGATCCAAAAATGTTTTATTAATCTATGCAGAATCAGGAAATGTCATCAATTGATTATCTATCAGTAGGAGAAAAGAAATGCCAGAATCTCCAACAGAATTACAGATCCTATCCTGCTTCTTTCTGCAAAATATTTCAAACATCTTATAAAAGATTTTTAAGTCAACTATAGAAAAAGAAAGCAGGTAAGATAATGGCACAATAAAGCACAGAGGAGTCATCATAAACAGGTAGGTAGAAAATGAAATTATTGCTGTGGTTCAGAACGGAACCACTAAATGGGCTATGATATCTAATACGTCTATTGTCCAGCTAAGTTTACACAGACCTCAAACCAAGGGTAAAGCAGTGAGGACTATTAAGGGGCAAAGAAAAGTCACTGACTGCACAAAGAAGATCATCACTTCATAGCAAACACCTCTGAATGGAAGAGCTACAGTGAGGAATAAACAAACATGCTAATCAGTTATGTCCACCCTGGAACAGAAAAAGGAAGTAGAGAAGAAATGAAGTAAAAAAACTATCATTTTTTCTTTAGGGAGAAAAAAATAAAATTAATTTCTTATTAAATCTTCTAAAAAATAAAAAACTAAATAACGTCACAATTCTATCTTAAACCTTTGACTGTAATGGCTAAAAACAATTGGGAGCACATGATGAGTAGTAAACCAGGACACAACTTCTAGAAATATAGACTCAATACATAATTACTTTCATCATCAAAACTAGATTAAAGTGTGAGTATTAATGGGAAAGAGAATGTAAATAGCCATCATATGAGAATCAGAAGGGTGAAAATATGGTCGCATCAAGTTTCTCTGAGAAAAGAAAGATATAAATTAGAAAATCATGGTATGTCAGTCTCTTAGGGAAAAAAGCAGTAAAAATTTAGAGAATCAGAATGAGGAAAAGAATATCTTAATTAAATATATGAAAAATTAGCAATATTATATGGCAAAAGATGAAATGACAGACTATCTAGAAAATGATAGTTATTCTAGAAGAAAAAGGCAAAACAGTGACCCAAAATATGGTTACTGTTACTAGGTTTTCTGTTGTCTTATTTAACTTTTTTGAGACGGCGGGGAAGCACTGAGGAGGTGACAGAAAAATGTAGAGACCAAAACAAAAAGCAGCTCATGTGAAAACAATATATGTTTCAATGATGAAGGCTACTACTTATCTGAAAGATACAATTTTCTAGCATATTTTTAGGGAAATAGGTACAAATTAGGCTTATAATGACAAGTTTATTAACAGCAACCTGCCAGTTTGAGATAGGAAAGAAACAAGAAAAACTTTATGAAACTAATTCTAATATGCCTTGTACTCCTGATTTTTGCCTAAACGTAGCTGAGAAACTATCTATATATTGTCACATATATCCTGTATAAAATGGACTCCATTAGATCAATACATTCTAAATTACATCATCAAAGATATCACACAGCTTTGACATAACATTGGCAACAAAATTAATCAAATAATTATTAAACAGATATTTATAGTTGATTTATACATATATATAAATATATGTGTAGTAAATGCAGTGTGAATTCATTTATAATTTAAAGTTTTCTTCTTAATTTTACATGTAATTTCAATAAAAAAACAATATATATGTATCCAACAGAGTTTAAATTTGACAACTGCTGGGTATAATTTAGTCAAATTTAAAGTAACAAATCGGGAAAGAACAAAATATGCATAAAAACCCATTTTACACATACAAACAAATTTTGGGCAAACATGTAACTATGGGCACCTATTTCCAAAGCGTAATACAACAAAGCATTATACAAGAAAGGTAAAGTATTCGTTTTTTACTGTAGTTTGATGTAATTATTAAATTTAAGTTTTACTTCAAGGGTAGCCAAGTTTTAAGCAAATTCAAAATATTTTTCTACTTGCATTTTTTTGTAAGTACGACTAATCTTTTAGAGCCATATACTTTCTTCAAAACAGCTTATGCCTTTGTACAGAATTTGGATCACGTACCCATGCCTCTGTTTGAACTGGCCTGATGTTGCTTAGCAGCACCTCTTCATAGTTTCCATAATCAATGAATTTAACAACTGCTGTCATGCCCGAAGAATGGAGAGCTTCAACTTCTGCTCGGTAAAACTGAGGAGACAAAAAGGAGTTCTAAATATGACAATATTGTCAACAAAGGGCAATATCTGATGAAAATGTAAATTTTCAAAGTGTTATAATGCATAATATTTAAAAAATGGAAAAACATACCCTTGGATAATCACAAAAGTGACTACAAAGAGAGAAATTCTCTCAACCATATGAATTCCCACATACAAATAGATTTCAGAACAGAACCAGAGGGTCAGTCCAAAAACCCGTTGCCATCGAGTCGATTCCGACTCATAGAGGACAGAGTAGAACTGTTCCATAGGGTTTCCAAGGAGCAGCTGGTGAATTCAAACATGCCAACCTTTTGGTTAGCAGCCACCAGGGCTCCAGAGGGTCAGTAGAGAATATTCACATTCTAATGGGTGTAAAAAGAACTAGTATTAAGTTTTATTGTTAGCCACTGAAGCCCTTTGTTGAATAGTGGTTAAGACAATTCCTACATACTAATCAGAATATATAATATGACCAAGAAGTAATTTATTTTAAAAACAGAAATACAGGACAAAAATAAATACCAAAGAAGGTTCATTGATTCAGTCCTCACGGGAGCCAAGGTGAGGTAGGGGTATTGCGGAGGGAGCAACCACATTACTTATGGCCAAGATTTATAGGATTTGAGGTACTGTACAGCCAGAAACTTTATTAGTTGAACCCAGTGGCTCTGGGAACTGGTGCATATTAACAAACTTATAAGAAACTGATTTATGTAACAGAACTATAATTTAAGAATGTATCTAATGTATCTATTAAAGTAACTGGGAGTAGGTCATCTAATTGGAGCACTCTTCCAATATACTTCCACCCATTCAAGACCCAAATTCTAGGCCTGGATGTTGCTCAGTGAACACAAAATGAAACAAAGTACAATTTGCTCTTATGAAATACTTTCTTCAAGCTAGTACAGTTAGATGTTCTACTATAACACTATTTACTCTAACAGTATTTCTTAATAACAGGTTCACCAGAATCAGAAAATGTTGAAAGCAATAAAAATTCTTATTCTTCACATCCGTCTAAAAAATGAGTTGCCTCCTCTGTACCAGGAAAGAGTCCATTTTTACTGACCGACTAGCATATTTCATACTACAAAGGTAATAAATTAATCTATGGTGTTCCCTTCCTGGGTCTGGATGTTACCAAGTTTAGAGACACCGTGCTCAACTGCTAGAGTTTTCCTTATCTTAGAGTTTTGATATACATTCACATCTCTCCCCTCCTTTATTTCTGTCCCCCACTCTTCTGCGTTCTATGAATGTTTTGGCTCTTTCTGGACCTATGCTTCAACTGTAAGCCTTCTCAAATCGTGTCAGTTTAGGTAAGTTCAACAAACACCATATCTTAGTAAAACAAACTGACTTCCTTTTAGGGACTTACAGCTTAATAAAAAAAAAGTGTAAAAAATAACTTCTATATAATGTGGAAAGTATATTAATAGAGGTGTAGTGATAACAGCACTTAGCAAAACAGTGGCTCAGGAAGAAATCCCTGTAAGGAATGACAGTGGATGAAGAGGGGTTAGCCAAGTAAAGAATTAAGAGAAGGATGTTCCAGGAAAGTTATAAATACATAAAGCATGATGATGAGTATAGAAAACAACAATCAGTTTAAAATTAATTATGGTATATAAAGTGAGAAGAAGGGTCAATCAATAGGAAATTAGGCAGGACTGGTACAAATAAGGGCCAGATGGTGGAGGCTTTGTATGCATCCTACAGTCTGTAATTATTCTACAGGTGAAAGATTTTAAGAACGGGGAATGACATGGTCTAAGACCAGGATCACAGTGGTAGCAATTTTGTGATAAATTTAAGAGGAATAAGGTTTAAGGCAAGGAGATCGATTTGGAGGTTGTTAACACTATTCCAGTTGAGAGAAGATAAGAGCTAAAGTAGTTATGGCAGTCTAGAGGTAGAAGGAGAACTGCCTATTGCTCATTTAATGGAAATAAAGCTAGAGAGAAGGCAAGGTATTATAAGGACCTTTTTAAAACACAGATTAAACTAATTAGTTAATTATCTCCAAAACATCATTACAGTGCAATTAAGAAGATTATGACCAAACCAAAAAAACCAAATCAGCTGCCGTCGAATTGATTCTGACTCATAGCGAGCCTGCACCATAGGGTTCCCAAGGCTTTACAGAAGCAGACTACCACATCTTTCTCCCGAGGAGTGGCTTGTGGGTTTGAACCGCCAACCTTTAGGTTACCACCTGAGTGCTTAACCACTGCACCACCAGGGCTCCTTTTCTTTATGACAGTTATACCAATTCCTTTTCCTAAATCTCTACCCCTAGTCTCTGGTTAGAAAACTGGAAAGTTACCTATTCTTGACAAGACATTTAAAAGCTACCTCTTAAGTTAGGTGGTTTTGGCAGATAACTAATTTCACCCCTTTTACAGGCTTAATATTTGTTTACCTTATTTCCAATGCTTAATGGTGTAATCTATTGACAGCCACTGCCCCTTCCCTCTACAGTGAAAGTATACATCTAATTAAAATCAAAGTGTCACCTTGGAAGACCATTCAATTACTGTAAGAATATTCTAATAGCTCAAAACATTTTGGGAATGTTAGGTACTATCTGTCCACATTATTTTGAATTTGGCATTTGGGTAATAACACAGTCAGAATTATGTGATATATCCCAAGCACCTGGAACTTAGCGGGTATTTAATTATGGCTTGGTGAATACTCAACTAATACTTGTTGAATGTACTTGTCTGCTAAGTTTAATATCTGAATACCTGTAGGCGTGTTTCTCTTCTCTGTGGCTTACTGGCTTCTGCTGTCTCTGTCTCTCTGTGTGTGTCTCTCTCTCTTCTCTCTTTCTGTTTGTTTTTTAACCATACCTCATAATTTTTATTGGATGTAAGATATTGTAGAATGTCTGATTTGGAAAAAACACTGAAAAGAATGGAAGAGAATGTCGATCATGGAAATACAAAAGGTGGTGAGAACCAGTTGAACGTTGGAGAATACAAATATGTGATATCATTCCAAGAAAGTAAGTGATTTTCTCCAGCACTGCTTGGTAGCCTGGATGTAGGATGAGGAAGATGAATAGTTGAATTCAAGGCTGGTATTTTATAAGATGGCAGTGACGGAAAGACAAAGGACCAAGAAGATTGAGACTATTTACAAGGAAATGCTTGAAACAACTGGCCTTGTATTCTAGTCTGACAGCTGGTTAGGAAAGTATATTAATGCCGGATTATTCAAAAATGCACACAAATATATTCTAGTATCTCATCCTAAAACAAGCTAGCAAATCCTCCTTTGACTCTCACATCTGCTTCCAGATAGCATCCACTTCTCTTGCTTCTCTTCAAAGCCAAACTTCTCAAAATAATTGTGTACATTTCCTCAGCTCCCATTCATGCTGCAATTGCAGTTTGGTTTCTGCACTCATTCCTCCCTCTGAAAATTGTTCTTGTCAAGGTCACCAACAACCTTACACTGCCCAATGCAGAAAGAAGTTTTCCAATTTTCATTTTAATCAAACTTTCTGAGAAGCATCTGGCACAAATGGCCTACTGTAAGGTAGGCACTGTTGGCTTGATAAACCACCAACATCGATTTTTCATTTTTTTGCCTCCACCATGAAGCTGAAAACACTAAATAAATGTAATCCATTACTACCCAAATCATTTTTTTCCTGCATTTTGGAAAATGAGTAGTCTGAATTGGGATGGCACTTGCTTTCCAATTCTCCCTTATAACCAGGAAGTGGCCATGTGAAATACTTGTGGCCAATGAGATTTATACAGAAGTCTGCTGGTATTTCTGGGAAGATTGTTACTTTTCTAGGGGGAGAAAAAAAAGCAAAGACACAGATAGTATTGTCTCCTCCCCTACTATCCACCTTCAATAAAAACTTGACAGTTAGACCATTACTATTCAACAGCATATAAAAACCTTAAAGCCTATGCCATCTAGCTGCACCACTCTATGCCCCTCCTTGTTGTTACCATCAGCAAACACCATGCTTATGCCTCATCATTCATGTTGGGGCCTGGATCCCAATTCCAAGTCCTGTAACATCTTTATAAATTCATATTACATTTAATTCAATTATTTAATTCTGTAGCCTCTCAATTCCTTGAAATCTTTGCCATTGCTACCTCCACCACTCTCTTTAGCCACACACTCTCCTGAGCATATCCTGGATCTTATCACCTGGAATTACTGTACCTATTAAACATTGATTTCAGTATTTTTCTCTTTGACTTCATCATCACATCCACCCAGGCCGCTCACACTTTAACTCCTTTACATCGGATTTTATTACCTTGCTGATATCTTTAGTCCCCTTGCCACTATACTTTTCCCTATATAAATGGACCCTCTTGCATTAACTGTTAAACAGTCAGCAAATAATTATGAAAACCCTACACTGTGAGAGGAGCAGGGCTACAAAGGAAAACCAGGCAGACCTAGTACTGCCCTCAAGGGATTTAAAACTATAGTAGGGAAGACAGATATCAATCCAGGAATGAAAAACAAAAATATTTACAAACTGTGGTAACTTCTAAAAAATGAACAAGCCACTGACTGAGAAAGAGAACAACGTAGGAGAGATGAGGGGGCAGGTCAAAGGCTTCTTCTAGGAGGTGATGTCTGAGCCAAGCCCTCAAGGATGGAAAGGGTAGTTCGCAGAAGAGCATGTTGGGCAGAAGAGAAAACGCTCACAAAGACCTCCCTCTCTGAGGGTCTCTTGGCCCTCCTCTCCCTCCCGTTCTTACTGCCTTGATCTCTCTCAGCCAGGCTCTTTTTTTTATGTGATCCATCTTATTCTCCTTGCCCACACCTTCTGTCTTCCCCTTTTCTTTTTCGCTCTTTTCCTTTCAACTAGAATATAACGTGCAACTAAAGAATGTTTACATTATTGGTTTTATTAGCTTACTTAAATAAATACTTTCTGCTCTTATTTTTTTTAAAGTAGGCCAAATATATGTATTTTTAAAAATAAATTTAAAAGGAAAACAATTGTTGAATTTAATTCTGTGCCACTCAACTGATTTTCTTCCTTAAGAATCAGTTTAACTTTACTAGAAAAGCAAAAACGTTAATGGTTCAGTTGATGATAAATGAAATAAAGTTCAACTTCACTTAAGCACTTCTACAGTACTTTTTAATATATAAACTAAAGGCAAATCTAACCTAACCAAATCGTATGGGACAGGTATTTCCCTAAACATCTATCAAAAAATATTATGTATTGTGGTTTATTTTCCCTCTTCAATACATTATATATCTATTTATCTGTTCAGAGGCTTTAAACAGGTATAATTCAAACAAAATTCATAGCACCAGTGTGTTGGCCTTCTGTGAGGTTCCACTAGAATGCTGTATTTATTAATATTAGCACACAATATCTTTACAGCAACCATACCTTGTTGTCTTCCCAATAAAGTGCAAAACATTCATCTCCAGGTTTCCACATTTTTGCATACTCCATAGGAATAGATGATTCTATGATTTTTTCAGGTTTAATTGGCCCAGATCTTCTTTTGGGCCCACTATTATAAAATATTTTATCATCATAGGGAGTAGCTGCGATGGGTCCTGCTGGCTTAATAGGTCCTACTCGCCTCCCCTTCAGTGGCATTTCTGTCTCTCCATTTGGAACACCAATGAAGCTATTAGTGCTGACAGGATTCTGGTAATCAGTATTTACATTAAAATGTTTTTCAGTTTTTACACCACTAAAAGCTTCATTACTCATTGTTCGTGGTTTTCTGTCATAAAAATGATCAAGATTTGCTGGTTGGTTTTCTCTTTTCCCACGTTTTTGATTATTATAATCTATGGATTCTTGAGGAAGTGGATTTTCTTTTGCCTCTGCATAGGATGGACCTTTTCCTGGTCTGCTTTGCATAGAGTTATCTCTTTTTTTAAAAGCACCATCATTGTGCTGAGAACTTGAAGGATATGAAGTATCTTTAGTTCTGTCATATCTAGAATATGGTCTATCACACTTGATTCTCTCTTCAGCCCATACTTCAGATACTGAAGAAGTTGGTTTTTCAGAACCTCTGTTTCTAGGTAATCCACAGCCTTCAAAAACGGACTTTGAATTTTGGGTGTCTCTTTGAAAACGAGGAGGCTTTTCATTTCTTAGCTGCCTGGTATCATTTCGAGGAAGATGTCTTGGTTGGTTATTATCTCTTACTCCATTTTGCTCCATATTCGAAAATCTATGTTGTCCCTGATGAAGTTGCTGCAGCTGCGATTTAGGTTCTGAAAGGCAAAAGTATATTGCATGCATATTACAATAAAGGCTCAGTATTAACATTAATTTAAAAAGCCTAAAAATTATTATATTAATGCAAAATTATTGAACTGCTATAATAACATTGTCCTCTTCCAACCCCATTATCTTAATCCCTCTCTGCTTCCTAAGAGTACAACACTTTCAATGTAGACTTTTCCTGGTTAGCCACCTTAAAAAAGTAATGCAATGATACAGATCATAAAAACGGGTGGATAATTCAAAAGCAATTTGTTCTTGTCTTTGAATATCTGTATTCTTAGAATATAGCTATGTGTGCTATTTTGGCAATTCATTTCCCAAAACGTTAGTGAGACAGAATTGTAAATTGCTAACTCAGAAGTTGCTATTAAACAGCGCAAGCATAACCCATGCTCAATTCCTTTCTGAATCCCATTACAATACAGAAATGTATAACTGTCATTATCAGTCAAGCTCTAGCCTTAGCAGTAATGTTCTTTCCCAAATCCTTCTGGATACCTGTTTGAATTACAAATAGATATCCTACTACGGAAAAGAGCTGATAATTATCTTAATCTCAGTAATTAAGTAAGAGCAGGTACTACTGGGAAATATTAAAAAAAAAAAAAAAAAAGAAGGTTTGAAAAACACTACTAGGCGTAACAATGCAGACACTGTCAAACTTAAAACCAAAAGCAGTAACATGGTAAATATATTGATAGATATTTTTATGAGCTGGAATAGACTTGATGGCAACGGGTATGGGTATTTCACATGGGGATTCTTTATTCTATTTTAATTTTTACTACATCATTTAGACTTTCTAGTTTCATTGTTTCCCACAGCATGTCTACAACATTATTACCAAATACACTGATTGGTCTTTGGTGTACCTGTCTTCTTTCTCGTTATACACCATAATCAACATGCAGTCAGGAACTATTCTTATATTTCCCCAATGTCACAAGACATGAGATTATTTCCTGCACGGCAAAATTATCCTCTTTGACCTCTAAGTACTAAATGCCAAAAGCACTCTCCTTTAGCTCCCCCAGTCACTGGGACCACCAAAATGGTCCCCATACATTTCCAAACACCCACTGGAGGCAAAATGGTACCAGCTGAAATCCTTAGAACAACAGGGATAAAAAGAAGACCCTTAAAGCTTCCAGAGTATCAAAATAGGTCACACACTAAAAATCAAAAAGCAAAATGGCAATAAACTTCTCGACAGAACCACTAGAAGCTAGAAGCCAATCTAATAGGCTTAAGATGCCTTTAAAATTGAGAGAAAAATGTTTTCTAGTAGAGTTCTACATCCAGAGAAACTATTCATTAATTGTGATAATAGATTGTTTGAATATACAAAATCTCAAACACTAACCAAGACTGTTTAAAGAACATTTTTAAAAATCACTTTTCTCCAGAAAGATTTGCTTCAGAAACATAATACACATATAACTTTTGAACAACTATATTCAATATTAAATGTTTTTTAGACAGGAGAAAAATGGTCATCTTTACTTTCTACTGGCATTGTTTATTGTCCAGAAGTAAAGGTTTTCAGGAAAGCAAGAATAGTAGAAAATATAAATAGTACATAAATGAACATTTTTTTTAGCAGAAATAATGTTTTAGCATTTGTTCCAGAAATTATTAAAGAATAAAAGCAGCAGTTTCCCATTCCCGAATATCTACTATATATTAGGTACCACACATTAGCACTTTATATGCATTATTAATAGTTCCCAAGTAGTAGTCTTATGATACAGATGTTACGAGGTTTATTCAACACAGAGAGGTAAAGTCCCTTGTATAGTAAATTGAGGAAATTTTTCTGCTTCCAAAATTTATCAAACACATAGATATTTTATTTACTGCCAACTAAGTTTGAATAGATATTTAAGAAGTAAGCTTTTCAGATCTGCTGTGTTTAGGGATCAATTCTTCTTAAATTATTCCCCTTAAGGCCCCTTACATCTATGATGGCAGGAGGCAAAAATAAATTAGATAGTGAAAGTAACTCATATGCTGGACTAGAGATAGAGGCTGGATAACCATATGTAGAGAATGAAGTCTTCAACTGGGTTTGCTGGTGTGGGCAATTTGATTTCACTTGTTTCAAAGAAAAAAAGGGAAGATTTCCTGACATACATCTTAGATTTCTGTGGGACTATAACGAAGAGCTGTATTAATAAAAATATCAAGTTTGTTACTTTGGTCCCACACCCAATCTACCTATAGAATTTATGGACTTTTCTATCAATTTGCCATTGTTCTTACCAACTTTAACAGCTCATTTACATACACTCTCACCAACCAGCTCTGTTGTATCAAAAGTACTACCCTAGAAAACAGAACAAGGGATTCTAGTATGAATTATTATTTTTAACAAAGAAACAAGCAGGCTTAGGGAAATGCCTGATAGTTAGGAGGAATGATATTTCATTCCTCCACTTAAATATCATTCCACTTAACTCTTATTGTTTTCAATTATTTAATGGCTAATGTACATTAGATTACAGGAATAATAAAGACACTTCATTTCCTTTATTATGCTGAGACAATGTAGTGAATCTTCTTTAAAAAATAAGAAGAAATGAAATAAACTCACTGAGGTAGAAGATAAAATTGTGCTTTTTTAAAAAAAGAGTTTTTACATACATCTATTTTATTCCAAAAAGAAATAACAGTACGCCAAAAAAGGTAGGACCTTAAATTCCCCACATTCAAATGTATCATCATTCTCAGGTCCCCTTAAACTCAATACCTTTTATTTCAGGGTAGTTAAGTAATGAAGTTAGATATAAAGTAAATATTTTGAAACTGAGCTTACCTATGAAATAACTAACAGAGTATACGCAATCACTAAATTATGGAAAAGACCATTTTAAATAAATTAAAGAATATCCCCCTTGTCAAATGGAAACACAGCTCCTCAGCTCTCCAGTCAGAATCTAGCTGCTCTCCACCACCTTTCTTGAGAAGGCATGATTTCAAAACACATACAATACTAATTAGCACTGCAGAAAACAAAACAAAAAACCAAACCAGCTGCTCTCGAGTCTATGCTGACTCATGATGACCCCATGTGCCCCATGGGTTGAAGAGCACAACTGCATTCCATAGGGTTTTCAAAGCTGTGGCATTTCAGTAGCAGATCTCCAAGCTTTTGGTCCAAGGCACTCCCGGGTGGGTTCAACAAACCAACCTTAATCAGCATCACAGGCCATGTCTGAATTCACTCTAATAATAAATAAACCAAGATATTTTTCTGTCTAGGTAGCAGAATAAGATGAATCCTTGGATTTTTTTTTTTTTTAATGCTCCAAGGTGAAGAGATACCAAAAAAAAAAAAAAGGAAAATGAAAGATTAGCAAAAGTTATAGAAAAGTTAGAGTACCAAATGGATGTACCACAAAATTGACAAAGCTTTGAAAATACCTAAAAGATCAAAGTGATAAAAGCTCAAAGAGAAAACTAATCAAAGAGTACTGCAAGAGTTTAGTCTGACTTGAGATAAAATGTTCCTAGTATACCAGGTCACGAGTTTCAAAATGTATGATGTTTACAAGATAATTGATTATAATGTTTTAATCCCCATGATTTGAAATGCAAGAAACGTTAAGAATGAATTTATTGTCACAAATCATTTGAGCCTGTATATTAGGATGTGCTGAATTAATCAGACATCTTAAAATATTAATACTTCTTTGCAGAGTATTCATTCTCAAACAGCAGCTGTACATGAATTTTATACTAGGGAAATATGTACATTTTGTTTCCCAAGACTATTCATTATATTCTGGGACACCTACCCGAAGAGGGAGACGCTTAATAGTTATTAAAATTTTACTATTTGCCAAACTCTACATTAAAGGTCTTTTGCCTACATTATTTCATGTAATTCTCACAACTACCCTGAAGGGCAATATCATTATCCTTATTTTACAAGTGAAGAAACAAAAGTAAAGTGCCTTTACTAAAGTTTGCAGCTAGAAAATGCTGAAGCTAGGATTTAAATTCAACTTTAACTGAAACCAAAGCCCACGACTTTTCCAGGATGCCAAGCTGCCTGCCCAAAGAAACAAAACAGAATGTAACCAAAAACATGTTGGCTACAATTTTATCACCTGCATCTGCTCATTCTGGTAAAATGCAGAAATCACAAAGTCTCTTTCATATCTCTGAGAGGATGAAAAATAAATTTCGATATCAAGTACTGCCAGGCTCTGGTCTAAAATTAATAGTCTCTTTCCATTAATGCAGGGGAAAAACAAAAAACAAAAAAACCCTATTAACAGCTGAACTGGTATTTAGAAGCCCACAAGCTGGCAAATAGCATAGTGCGTAGGGTGCAACCTCTGCAGCCGCACTGCGTAGGTTTACATCTCACTCCGCCACTTACTAAGTCTGCAACCTTAGGCAAGATACTCAACTTTTCTGAGCCTCATTTGTAGAGTAATAGCTCCTACCTCATAGGATTAACTGAGAATATATATAAAGCACTTAGAATAGTACCTGGCTTTAGTGAGTATTCAGTAAAGTGGTTAATTGCTTGGCTGCTAACCAAAAGGTCAGCAGTTTGAATCCACCAGCCACTCCTTAGAAACTGTATAGGGCAGTTCTTCTCTGTCCTAGAGGGCTGCTATGAGTCGAAATCCACTCTATGGTAAAAGGTTTGGTTTTTTTAGTTTTAAATGTTAGCTGACATTTTTATTATTACGACTACTATTATTAGCATTACAATCATGCAAACAATCAAACGTAATTAATTACATCAGAAAAAAACAATACTTGAATGATGTTATGGATTGAATTGTGTCCCCCCAAAATGTGCCAACTGGGCTAGGCCATGATTCCCAGTACTGAGTAGTTGTCCTCCACTTTCTGATCTGATAATCCTATGTATTATACATCCTAACTAACCCCTAAGATGTTAACGAGGCAGGACTCAATCTACAGATCGGGCTGTATCTTGAGTAAATCGCTTTTGAGATATACGAGA